GTATAAATACACATACTGTACATTAAATACATGAAGAAACATTTACGTTTATAAATATTATATTGGATAAAATTACAATGTAGTAGCAAAGTAATTACAAAGTAATGACATAGTAATTACGTTTGTAATAACATGTGTAATGTTTATATTTATGTATATAAATAATCAAATACTGTACATGCAATATAAAAAGAAACATTTACAATTATAAAATATTATCTTGGATGTAACTACAATGCAATTTCAATGTAATGACACAGCAATTGCACACAACATAAAAGTTTATAATTACATATTACATCTCAGATGTAAATACAATGTTATAACAATGTGATTACAATGTCATTACATCCAAAATCAGAGTTTGTTATTAGACATTGTCGCCTTAGAATTATTTTTAAAAATCTGTAAAATCAGTCCAAGGCACTAAAAAAAAAGTGGAAATAATTAAAAAGCCTTTATTGACATGGCCCTTCCTTAAAACTGCGCCTGCGCGTTTTGGCAAACAACTGCCTTCATTAGGGTAACAGTCATCAGGTGCATCTGAAGTTTATTTTGAATGCTACAGTCTCATGACATTAGAATATGTAAACAATACTAAAATAATACATTGAACACAAGGTCAACTCAACAACTTTGTCATGATCACCAGTGATCTAGCGTTTGCAAACTACAAATCTGCCTCTTTAATGGACTATAGATCCCATCATGCACCTCACTCACACACCTGGCCCAGATTTCCCCTTGATTGCAAACACACACTGCTGAAGCTGGACTAATCAGATGGACAATAAACACAGGACACAAACACACACACACACACACACACACACACACACACACACACACACATACACACACACACACACAGTTGCTGAGTCTTTTTAACTGTAAAGCTGCGGTCACACGCTCGTGCGACAAGATTTGCAGTTTGCTGCTTTGCAAAGTTCAAGCTTGGTGATCTCTGACCTGTGAAATCGCATAAAGTGATTGTGTAAGACCAATTGAAGATCAACACATGACCTCTCTGTACAGTAATTTTAAATATTGACCAATGACTTGCTTTTTAAATTGTTAATCATCCTTAATCCCGCCCCTTTTTACAGCGTCGTACAACAGAATTTTGCATGCTTAAACTCTAGTGTGATCGCGGCATAAGTGAGCATTTCCTAGTATTTTCCTTGTCTTGTCTTTTGTGTTTTTGGACCCTTGTTTATTTTACTGTTTACGTTGTTTTGCCGCCTGACTCAACCATTCACCTGTTATACTGACCATTCTCTGGATTACCTGCATTTTCCCTTCTGTCCCTGTGTTAACCTTGCCTGTACTACGGCTCTTTACATTTTGTATTTGGCTCATATGTTTATGATCTGGCAGTCCTGTCTTTTTTTCTGTTTAAATTTGTGTACCCACTTTCATCTCATGTAAATTGATGCACTTTAATTTAAAGGGTCACGAAACACCAAAACACATTTTTTGAGCTGTTGACAGTCGTATATGTGTTCCACACTGCTAAAAACACTATTAGGACACCTATATTTCACCAAAAAGTGTAAATTGGTTGTTTTTGTGTTATTTCAAGCAAATTCGTACTTCCGGTTTGAAACGAATTTTTGAAGCTGCGTCACGGTCATGAGATAATAGCCTGTATTCCAGCATGCAGACTGGACGTCTGTGCCAGAGAGGACCTTATTACATCTCAGAGTGTGCTGCATTAATGCATGAGTAAGGCTTGGTTCAAACCAATCAGCGCGCTCTATTGTGCAACTTCATTAACATTCATTACTGTCACAGTGTTTAGACGACAGAGACGCCACGTTGTATTGGCAAAACAAGCGTGAACTGTTGCTTTTATAGTTTGCTGCAGTTTTGTTTTCGTTTTCTCTCTGTGAGAGCTCAGCTGGAGTCGCGTGTGGATTAAAAGTGTACGTGACGCTCGACAACAATAACTTACGTGTCTAAGGAAGAACATTGTTTACCTGAGGCTGTTCTTATCTGCAAACGCTGAGATCCGGATTCGCTTGTTGTCTTCTCTTAATAAAGACGCGGCTCTAGTTGCTGGTGATTGTCCTGACTCTACAGATTTGGTAAGTGAGCGACCAGTGCTCTTTGTTTATTCAGTTTGTTCGTATCGAACTAACTATTGCACCGAGTGTAAACATGTTAGCACCACAACCAAACTTTAACCTCGTGTAGGATTTTCACCGCATTTTGTGACCGGAATAACACATGCGGCTTTCTGACACTACCTGCCGAGTGCATCTAAATTTCCTGGAAATGTGGAGGTTTTTTTTCTCTCATTCGCCGTGCGGTATCAAACATTGCATGAAAAATCCACGCTTAGAGCAGTTCCTCGAATCAAATATCTCGTTTGTCGCGAGGGGCATGAATGAATCCCCTGAATGAAAGAGCCAAACTGCAGTTAAAGTCCACCATTTAATAATTTGGCAAATAATTCGACTACAGATGTCCATGTAAACACCATCACTTTCTCCCGTGTGTGTGTGTGTATGTGTGTTTTGACTCTGAAACTCCCACGTGCCCAAATAGACACTTCCACACCATCCCACTTTAGTTCCTCCTACACTCCTCCCTAAACAGAGCTGGACACGCCCACTTTTCTGACTTTTTCCAAAGTAGAGGTGTGAAAACACCCTGCTGAAATGAGGGGGTTTCATGGCCCTTTAAGAATACTTAATGCATTCAAGTTCCCAGCTATCACTCGAGACGATTCAAAAATAAGGAACTTTTATTCGTTTAAAGGGTATTTCATTGTGTTTATTACATCCAGCAGATCCTGAGGCTATGGCATCTAAAAGCAGAACTATACAGAAATATGTGTAAATGTGTTTTCATAAACATGGTTATTGCAAATTAGCTATAGAGGAGCATAAATAAGAAGTTCAATAGGCTTTTCTGACCAGTGTTACACACTGTATTCTTTGCCATCAGAGGAAAGCTCATTTTACTGTAAAGGTGGATGCAAAATAAAATGTCAGTCTTCACAGTCGTACAGTTTTCACAGGTTAAAGCATCCATCTGCCAGGAACGCCAGCTTGAAGAAAATTCTATCATCACTCACCCTCATGTCATTCAAAACCCAAATGGTTTACTTTTTTCAGTGGAAAATAAAAGAAGACATTTAACACAATGTTCATGCTGCTCATTTCCATATAATGCAAGGGAGCCTCTGTCTAATATGTCTGTTTGATGACTAGTCTACACAGTCAAAATATCTTTTAATTAAGAAGTACCATATTCATGGGCTTTTTCAGTTCAGAAAAGTACTAAACATAGCAGTACTGGCAATTTATTACCAGGTTTTTGTGCTGTAATTTACAACACCATCAATGCTATATTCCTTACAAACTATTAAAAATATGAATTAAAAAGTCACTTTTTTTTTACTTTTAACATTAAACGTTGGAGGACAGATCAAGGTCCCATAATGTGGTTCCATAGCATAAATAGAAAAAAAGAAAAAACTTTAATTCACAGATATTTTTTGGACGTGTGTTTGGAATATTGTGAGACGTGTATTCGTTTTTTGTGTATTAGATGTGTATTCGTTTTACACTGACAGCCAAATTTAGCCTTGATTTTGCCAAGATGTCAGTGTTTAAACATCCATTGATTGTCTTTAAGCACAACTTGCTTGCTGGGATATTAGTATGAAGAGTGTGGAGAGGAAACTACTACAAATGTAAATGTTGTTCGACTTTGTATCTTTTCCTCCACAAAGTTACCATATGGCTTCATGGCTTGCAATCACTTTTCATTCATTTTCTTTTTAGCTTAGTCCCTTTCTTAATCAGGGCTCGCCACAGCAGAATGTACCGCCAACTTATCCAGCAAATGTTTTACGCAGCAGATGCCCTTCCAGCCGCAACCCAACACTGGAAAACACGCATACACTATTGCATTAACACACAAAACCTACGGCCACTTAAGCTTATTCAATTCACCTATACCATATGTCTTTGGACTGTGGGGAAAACTGGAGCATCCAGAGAAAACCCACGCAAACACGAGGAGAACATGCAAACTCCACACGGAAATGCCAGCTGACCCAGCCGGGGCTCAAAATAGCAACCTTTTTTCTGTGAGGTGATCGTGCTACCCACTGCGGCCCCATGATGCCCCAATCACTTTTGGTTTGTGTTCCATTCAAGAAAATATGTCATCAGCCCACATGGAATCTGGGTGCACAAAAATCCACAGATTCCAGCTGATTTTTTAGCCCATCATTGAGTATATTTATTTAGTTGTGTAAATGTGTATTTAATTTGCATTTGTAATTAGGGCTGCACAGTGGTGCAGTAGGTAGTGCTGTCGCCTCACAGCAAGAAGCTCGCTGGTTCGACCCTCGGCTGGGTCATTTGGCGTTTTTGTGTGGAATTTCCATATTCTCCCTGTGTTCGCGTGGGTTTTCTCCGAGTGCTCCAGTTTCCCCCCTCAAGTCCAAAGATGTGGTTTAAATGAATTGGGTAGGCTAAATTGTCCATAGTGTTTGAGTGTGGATGAGTGTGTATGGATGTTTCCCAGTGATGGGTTGCAACTGGAAGGGGATCCGCTGCGTAAAACATATGCTGTGAAAGTTGGCGGTTCATTCTGCTGTGGCCACCCCTGATTAATAAAGGGACTCAGCTGAAAAGAAGATTAATAAGTGAATGCATTTGTCATTAATATATTAATTCAGTTAAATAATTAATTTCAGTAATATTATTGACAAATATGAAAATGTTCATATGATTCATTTACAATAGAGTTTGTGAAGTAATGTTTTCTGTCATTTAGTAGATTTGTTTTTCTAATTGGATTTGCTTTGTAAACATTAAATAAAGGTAAAAACCGCATTATTTTTCATGTATTTGTCATATAAAGTTTTTAGTTATGATACTTCCAAAATCATTCTGGATAAATTCACAGATTTTTTATTTTTTTTTACCAAAAAAAAAAAAAAACAAAACAAAACCTTTAGCACTTTTTTTTTTCTTTTTACAAAAATTCTGTGCAGAAATAGCAAAAAAAGTGAGCAGATTCTGTCTGGCCCTAGTCATCAAGAACAACATGAGGGTGAGTAAATGACAGAATATTCCTTTCAGGTAAAAACCAACACCTTAAATGATTGTGCTTTGGACATACAAACATTTCCTTGTAATTCTCCTGGTCCTGTTATCAATAATTGTCAAGTCACCTGATCATACAGGTACTAAATATGGCCTCACATTTTTTCCTTCAGTCTTACAGTCAGCTGTTTGCGTTATGACTTCAGTGATCTCCGCAGCTGTGGCGCTCCTTGACTTGCCACAGCCACAGATCTGCGGTGGAGTGCACTGACTGCGGTGGTCTCCGTGATCCCATGTATAGAACTGTCAGTGTCCTGTGAATCCTCACTGTTTTGGGACTTTGTGCTGTCCTGCGAATCAGGCTTGTGTCTTGTGGCCCGATTTTGTTCCTCTTTAAGCTCCAGGTAGGAGCGTGAAAATGTGTGAAATATGGATGTGACTGGGAACGCCATGAGCAGGATTCCACTCAAAATACTGCTGAGCGCCACCACCTGGCCAGGAATACTGCGCGGAACCATATCACCGTATCCCACCGTCGTCATTGAGATGACAGCCCACCAGTAGCTCCCAGGGATGCTGGTAAACTCCTGTTTGGCACCCAGCTCACTCTCGGCCAGAAAGACCAATGGAGAAAACAGGGCCATGGCCACACACAAGAACAGCAGGAGGAGTCCGAACTCTCGAGTGCAGCGGCGAACCGTCAACCCAAGTGTCTGCAGTCCCAAAGAATGACGTGCCAAACGCATGACGTAGAAAATCCGCAACGCTCGAAGAACTCGCAGGACCAGTCCCACTTTCTCCAGGTAGTTGTTTCCAGAGCCGGCAGGACGGTCACCCACAGACATCGAGTCCACTATTAGAGTGATGTAATAGGGCAGGATGGCCACCACGTCAATGATGTTCAGGGGTGTGCGCAGGAAGGTGCACTTGCTTTGCGTCTGGATGAAGCGGAGCAGGAACTCCAGGGAGAACCAGCCCACACACACTGTTTCCAGCACAAAGATGTTGTAGCACCTCTGGGAGCACTCGCCCTGAAAGAGAAAACAAACGTTAGTGAGGTTATGGCTTGAGGTTTCACATTCTGCTAAAACTCTGACAAATCTGAAATCATTAAGGTTTGTTATATGAGGGTTATTTTGTAGTGTACATGCCTCAGCATATTGGATCACTCTTAAAAGGCACCCATTTTATCCATTTTCAAGATTTAATATGAGTCTTTTGTGTCTCCAGAGTGTGAGTTTCAGCTCAAAATACCCATCAGATTATTTTTTATAGATTTCAGAAATGTGGGATTTCTGCTCTGAACACAATGTAGCTGTTTTTGCTTTTAATGCTAGTTCTCTCTGCCCACCGCTCGCACATGCCAGTCAGAGTGTGCCACTCTGCCTCAGATAAACAGCACAGTGACAGACATGAAGGAAGCAGATCTCACGTAACGTTTTATGAGAAATACTACAGTAAGAACTTTCCCAATGATTATTTGATGTATTTGTTGTGGAGTTAATTCAAGCATTTCTGCAATGATGAGCCACACACAATGTCATTACAACATTTACACACATACAGACACGCACATACAGCGCATGCATTTAGGTTAGCAATGTTTTTGCACAGCAAATTTGACAAGATACACGTTAATATCAACTGCTGTATAGACATCCGTTATGTTGATGTACAAAATAAACCTGATTTAACGTCCACAAACTGGAATTAAAGTGTGTTTCTTTAAAAATTGTACTGGCATGTGGTGATAAAGACGGCAAAATCGCTGTAATTCATTACAAACATTCTCTGTTTAAAAAACTTTTAAAATTCATTCTAGATCACATTTGTTGATGCTGGATGATCACAGAGTGCTCAACAGATCTCTTAATCCCAATTGCTTTGCGCACGTCTTGTCTTGTTGATATGATTACACGCGTTACTACGGTGACATGTTAATACATGGCTGTCAATCAATTCAATGAGCAGGGAAACTGCACTTCTATGGCAAGTTGCGGTGGGCCTCAAAATGGGAAGGATTTGGAAACTATTTTAACGTCAGGAAATTAAAAAAAAGAGACTTATTGTCTTTATATCACCCCAATATGACTGTGGATACTATACTATACCTACACTAACAGCTTACAAAAGACGATTTTCATTATATGTGTCCTTAAAACCTACTGTTTATTTCTTTTGTTTTGTTACTTTCTATTGCTTTGTCAAAGTTGATATTGCCATCTTGTTTATTTTTACTTATTTTTTCTTCGTTTGAGATTGTTTGTTGATACTCTTTGTTTTCATCCCCAGGGGATTTGAAGAGGTAAATGTCACGTGACTTTCAACAACCTGGGGTAGAGAGTAACATCACGAGTTCTGAAATATTTTATTAATTCATTCATTCATTCATTTTCTTGTCGGCTTAGTCCCTTTATTAATTCGAGGTCGCCACAGCGCAATGAACCGCCAACGTATCCAGCAAGTTTTAACACAGCGGATGCCCTTGCAGTCGCAACCCATCTCTGGGAAACATCCACACACGCATTCACACACAACAAATAATTTAGCTTAACACAGAAACACCAACTGAGCCGAGGTTCGAACCAGCAACCCAGTGACCTTCTTGCTGTGAGGCAACAGCACTATACTACTGCGCCACTGCCTCGCCCCTGAAATATTTTAATTATTTCTGAACAACAAAAATAGATCAAGTGTTTGTTTTAGTGGCACAAACCAGCACAAATCGAGCACAAACGAATGTCACCAGTTTGGTGCAATTTAGAGGAAATGGGGTAGAGAGTAACATAACGACTCCCAAAATATTTTATTTATATCTAAACAACAAAAACAGATCAAGTGTTTGTTTTATCAGCACAAATGAATGACACCAGTTTAGTGTGATCTAGAGGAAATGGGATAGAAAGTAAAATCACGACTAATGAAATATTTTAAATATATCTTAACAACGAAAAAAGATCCAAGGGTTTGTTTTAACGGCACAAACCAGCACAAATCGAGCACAAACGAATGACACCAGTTTGGTGCGACTTAAGCAGGTCGCACACCAGAAGCGCCGCTTGGCGGCCCGCCGCGCAGCGCCACGCAGCGCCATGTATTTTAGAATTCTAATCATAGGTTTCTATCAGGATACACACACCGGCGCCGCAAGTCGGCGGCTGTCGGCGGCGCCCGGCGACGGCTCAGGACGCAGTTCATTTTTCAGCCGCGCCACAGAGCGCCATCTGATTAGTTTCGTGTTAATCTTAATCTCTCAGACCCCAAACCAGCATTTATTTTTGTGGCACAAATCAGCACAAAAGAATGGCATAGTTTTGGGGATTATTTGTTTTTACGGAGTGCCAACTTCATGGAGGTCTTACAACATATATGTTCGGTATAGAAACACACTGTCCTTGTATTGCACTGACCTTGTATTTTTCTGTTTGGTTAAAGTGGGTAAGTTAGGGTGTGTAAATGCTGAAGACTTGTTTTTGTTGTTATCTATATTCTTTTTCAATATTACTGTTTTATGGCACAGCATGTAGCAATGTCGCCTCACAGCAAGAAAGTCGCTGGTTTGAGCCCCTACTGAGTCAATTTGCATATTTGTGGAGTTTGCATATTCTCCCAGAGTTTGCGTGGGTTTCCTTCGGGTGCTCCCCACAGTCCAAAGACATGCGGTATAGGTGAATTGGGTAAGCTAAATTGTCTGTAGTGTATGTGTGTATGTCCTGGTCCACCAGGTAGGGGGTTGAGCATTGGGTTAACAACCAACCTCGTAAAAAGTAGATGTTACGATATGCCAACATGGTGTGGCTAAATATCAACTTCGATATAAATGGCCCTGGGAGTAAGTATGAAATGATTAAAACACTGCAGTATTTACTATAAGATATCAGAGAAATTGTTGATGTAGGTAAGTAAAGTAATCTTTTAGGCAAACATTAAGATAAAATTTAGAATTAGTTTACATGTCTGAGCTTCATTAAAGCCTATTTCTAAAAGTCTGCTCTCAACTTTCATAAAACTCATTACACAAACACATTCATTAAAAAGTACAGAATTCTAAAAGCTTTTGTATAACTTGAATAACTTGTAATTACTGAACACTTGAAGTCTGCAGCTGTCGTACTGCCCTTGATTTCTGAATAAATACACTTCAGAAAATATTTAATAAATGCTGAAGACAAGCTTCTTGGACACCAGACAGATTTAATAACCCTGAATTTAGTTTCAATAGCAGTGAAGGTCATCATTGAATGTGTGAGAGAATATAAAGATTTGAAACAACAGTAAATGTGCCCAGATCTGACCACCCACCAGTATCAGGACAAAACTGAACTTAAGTCAACTCAAAAGAAGTTATAACTCTCCTACTGTGCATGGGGAAACAGCAGAAATCTGGCTTGAATAAGAGGCTGGCTAGAGGAAAGGCTCCAAGCCTAAAGTTTGCCAAAGGCATCTTTCTCCACAGTTTAGATTAGTTTGGCTTCAACGCTACAAGGAAAAGAACACAATATGATAAATTGAAAAGAGTGAAGAGCACACAGACTTCTATAGATGCAGCAGGATTAAAAAAAGAAGAAGAAGACACTGATGGTGAATAGGGTAAAAATTGAACTAATGTTTATTTAAAAAAAATTTCTACATAGTTTGTTTTTGTTTAGAGTAATTGCGGAGCATGTCAATCATTGGAAAATATTTCACAGAGTTCATATTTATTAAAGCTCTCAGTTTAGACTTAAAAAAAATGACATTTGCTGTTTGTTCAAACTACTTATTTAAATCAAGCTGAAACAACACAAACATAATAGTTTCGGGGGGCCAATTTAACTCTTTTATGTTCAATCCGATTTAATTTAACTTTATTCCTTTATGCTGTCTTAACACAAATCATTTAGTTTACTCAATTGTTCCTGCAAATGGGTGGATTTAACCAATAAGCGAAATAAGCAGCCGCTTACGTCCCATTTACACAGGGTGTCAGTGTTAACGGCTCCCATTCACTTTGAATGGGTGACGTCAAGCATTGCCGAACTGCATTGTGGATCTGTCGGCACCGCTTCAGAGGCGTTGCTCGCTGCAGAAGTTGGGACTAGCTCAAATTTTTCAAGCGCCGACGGAAGCGTCAGCCAATCAGATTGCTGTATGCAAATGCACCAGCTAGACAGTGGCCTATTGGTGACTGAATTTAATTTGCTGATGCTGCTATGATGATTGCGTTAGCCCCAACTTCAGAGACGCCTTCAGTCAAGCGTTGACGCTGAAGCCCCGTGTGAATGGGGTGTTAGGGCCTCAGGAAATTTGGGCCCCCCCAATAAATAGCTAAAAGATTAAATTATACACATAACATCATTTTCTATCATATTTTGTATGGTGAGGGTCTTACATATTAAATTTTATCGTAATTAACCTTTACTCAAATTTGTCACACACCCCTAATCATGGAGAAGTCCAGCAGACAAGTCAGCTAAAGATTCAGATTTAAGAACAATTTATTATTTTTGATTTATTTATTTATTCACAGAACACTGTAAGAAAATGCAGGGTTCCACACAATTCATTCATGTTGTCCCAACACAAACTGACTACGTTAACACTTTTAACAAATTTATGTGGATTGAACATAAAAAAATTAAGTTGTCCCACTGAAATTGTGTTGATTCAGCTCATTTTTAAAAAGTAGTTTGGACGAGCCTAATAATTTTTTTTGAGTGAAAACAAATCACTTAAAATGTAAAGATTTCATTAAGATAAAACATGAAAAAAACAAATTCAGTGATAAAAAAGACAAAATAAATACATAAAAAATAAATACAAATGGTGCATTTCAGGGCTCTTGGGGCACATGGCTGCAACTGCTTGGGGCCCCAAAATCACTAAATCTGCCACTGTCTGCAAATATAAGTAGACTGAACATAAACAATTAAATTGACCCCCAAAAAACCTTGACAGTTGTGTTGATTAATATTATTTTAATTAAGTAGTTTGAACAAGTAGCAAAAATATATATATTTTAGTGTACTATCAGAAAACGCATATGACAATT